TGAGAACAGTCACGTTTTCCTTTGAGATGATAATAGCAAGAACCTGACTATAAAGTAATCAATCTCAAATAACTTATTCACAAATAACCCTGATAAAAATGCTCCATGACCCCGTGCCAGGGAAGCTGAGTCAGGCTGAACAGGAAAGAATTGGGTTTCTGTCTTTCTCCCTGCACCCCTCAGGGGTGGTGGAAAAACTCCAGCTTAGTGACATTTGAACTTAATATCAAACTAAGTAAAGATTGCTGTCCAGCAGCCTTATTGCTAGAGTTACACACTGCCCCAGCCAGGCTTGGCACTTAAGAGACCAGGAGGCCAGTTCAGGATGGTGACCCTTTTGTTATTGCTCCTTTATTCCTGGGACCTCTATTTCCCATTAGTAAAATGGATATAGTATGTTCTTCCCATGATTCTACTAAGCTAATCAATTAGACTAAAATCAGACTGATTTGAAAAAAAAAATTTAGATTGCAGTAAGTTTGTTTTATTTGGTTGCCTTCTGTATCCTTTGGTCTAGTTTCTCCACCTCAATCCCACCTCCAGCACACATGTAGAGGTCCCCCCCCTAATTTCTTCCCTTTGCTGAGGGATTAGGTGCTAGTTGTGGCATTGGATATAATTTCTCTTCTTCACATAGATTGAATTTTACACTTAATGGGTGAAATGAGAAAACTTAGATTAAAAAATGAGGAAACTGAAGCTCATTAAAATTCAATGTCTTGCCCAAATCATGGATCTGGGACTCAAATCCTGGTTTACTGGCTATGTTACACCATTTTTGTCAACAATTCATTCCCATCTGTCCCAGTCCCACCTCTGGCTAGGGTCTGCCCCATCCTTTCAGGTTTTGCTTCAGTCACTGGTTACTGTTCCCTAATTCAGAATTGCACTTTCATCCAATTCCGCCTTTAGACTCAGATGAAAATATAAAAATGTATAGGAATTGGCAGCATGCTTTAGTTCTTTTTCCAGAAAATATAAATTGGCAGAAAAACTTTTCTTTTCCTTAGAAGTTTTTTCTAACTGTAAAAGATATATATNAGAGAGAGAGAGAGAGAGAGAGAGAGAGAGATTCTTTGTAGACAATTTAGAAAATAACAGAAATGTATGAAGATTAAAAACTAACACCACTCATTATTTTTCTGCCTACAAATATCTACCCGCCACCCCCTAGTTTCATTGAGAAATAATTGACATACATCATTGTATAAGTTTAATGCGTACAATATGATGGTTTGATTTACATATATTGTGACATGATAACCACAATAGGTTCAGCTAAGATCCATCATGTCATATAGATACAATAAAAAGAAGAGACAAATATCTACTTTTAAAATTTTAGGTCTATTTTTTTATACCTAGTCCTATTTTTCTGTTTCATGTATTTTAATATGTAACATTGGGATAATAAAGCATTTATTCTTGTTTTTTCCACTTAATATTATACCACAGTTTTTCATTTCATTAGTGATTGTTCAAAATCATTTTTAATGACTGCATCATATTTCAGCCTATGGAGATACTAGAATTTATTAAATCATTTCACAATTTTGGGCTTTTGCAGTATTTCAGAATTGTAACCCATTATGTATTGAAAGAGTACATTAGTACATAAAAGTCAAATTACTTCTCTGAGTATTTCCTAAGAATATGTTCTTAGAAAAGAAATTGGTGGATCCAAAGACATGATCATTGTATTATTTCACAGTTTCTTATTGCTGCCATAACAATTTAGCACGCATTTTGCAGCTTAAAACAGCACTCATCTATTATCTCACAGCTCTATAGATCAGAGGTCTGGCTGGCTCAGCAAAGTGTTCTGCTCAGCGTCCCTCAAGCCTCAAATCAAGGTGTTGGTGCCCTGGGCTCCTACTTGGAGGCTCAGAAGGAGAATTGTCTTCATGACTCATTTGTTAGCTGAATTCATTTTCTCACAGTTTGCACATGGTCTCCTCCATCTTTCAGCCAGCAATGGCAGGTTGAGTCCCTCTCATGCTTTGAATCTTTTTAAGGTCAGCTGAAGAAAATTCTGATTTTAAGCACTTGTGTGATTATTTGGATAATCTTCCTATTTTCAGATCTCTACTTCCATTATATCTGTGAAGTCCCAATTGCCATGTAAAGTAACAGTCTCAGGTTCTAGGAATTAGGGTATGAGCATCTTTGGGGGGATGTTCTGTCTACTGCGAACATTTTTTGGGATCTTTATAAGTATTGCCAGAATGCTTTCCAGGTAAGCTGAGCCAAGAGTTCTGCCACCAGCATTGAATGAGAGTGCTCAGCTCCCCACACACACCAGCACAGAATAGTATCTTTATTTTAGTAATATGACAGGCAAAAACAATTGAATTTGTGTTTTTACTTGCATGTCTTTGATTCACAGTGAGGTCAAACTATTTGTAAATATTCATTCACCAATCATTTTTCTTCTGTGATTGCTTGACCATTGCCCATTCTTTTATTAGATTCTTAGTATTTCCCATAATTTTTACTATCTCTTCACACATTAAGGATATTTTGCTATTATTTTGTAGTAGTATTTTTTAAAATTTATTCTTTAATGTACAGGACTTTTTTTTTTACTGTTGTTTAGTTAGGTGTGTTCATTATGGCCTTTGTGATTTCTTTTCATTGTGTTTTACTTTCAGAGGCAGCTATCAAATAATTCTTAAAATGTCAACTGGTTCGTTTGGCTTTCATATTGAATTTGTTTCATTTTGGTGTATGATGTGAAGAGGGGCTCTAAACTGATTTCTTTTTGCAATCAGTTTATTCTACTCTGTCTATGAAATAATTAGTACAGCATTTTACTGGGAAAAGGCAGTCATGATGATGCAAGCTACAGAAGCAGAGCCTATACACATACTGCTTCCGCACATGAAAGAAAACGCAGAGTCAAGAGAACATGACAGAACTTCTAACCTGGTAAATAAGAATTGATGAAGTAATTTCTCCTGTTTCATTTATATATGTTTGTAAGAAGGGCTGAGAAAAACTAATCAAGTTGATTCCAAGTAGCCAGAAAGGGTTTTTGATGTCTTGGGCCTGTCTAGATAGTACTGGGTTTCCTAACCAAGATTCAAAGTGACTTAGAAAAAGTTATTTTGAATTAAATATCTGTATAAAATAAGAACTAGGTTAGCATACAGTAAACAAAACTAAATATAAAGAAAAAAAATTACCAACCAAAAAAAGAAAGAAAAGAGACTCTTACCCTCCAAATTTGAAAATGTAAACATTAATTATGACAGCACCATTCCAATGAATTTTATCCCAGTAAGACAGGAATTGTAGGACTTCAAGCTGTAAAGACTTGGCCCCAGAAAGATGTAATTAAGACGCTTTTAGAAAAATGAGAAAGCATGCCATAAACTGAGAAAATATATTTGTAATGTGACAAAGGACATGTATCCAAAATATAGAAAGAACTCTGACAAATCCACAATAAAAACACAAACAACCTAATTTTAAAAATGGGCAAAATATTTGAACACTTTGCAGAGGATACATGAATGGCCATTAAACGAAGGTTTCCAACACTAGTTATCAAAGAAATGGAAATGAAAATCACACTGAGATACCGTTTCACACCCACTTGAGAGGCTATAAAGTACAACATACAAAGTCAAATGTTGGCAGGGATATGGAGCAACTGGAACTTGTATATATCACTGGTGGTAATGAAAATGGTAGAACCATTTTGGAGAACTGTTTGGGATTTTCTTAGAAAGTTGAGCATATACTTATCATATGACCCATCGTTCCCACTAATAGTCCATTTCTATCCAATCCCTAGCACTCCCATGTTGTTTTCCTTCTCCCAAATCTTCTATATCTTTCTTTTATTATTCTCATGTTTCTTCTAGTCCCTTTTTCCATCCCAAATAAATTCTCCCTAATTAACCACAGAGAGACTCATTTCTTCCACATTTATTCTAGGGGATATATATGTGATGACATAAAATAAAAATGATTTAGGATTAGCTGTATATTTTGCCTAAATAAGATGGCAGTTGTTTTTGTGGGGTTTTTTGTTTGTTTTTTGACAGCTATAATTGTTTTATGTCAAGAGTAACAATGAAAATAAAACATATACCAAGAAAGACAATATATGTGGATTAAAATTTTTTTCTCGTACAAATAATTCACAGCCTTCAAAAATAGAAAGAAAATCACATCATAATCAATAGTGTTGTAAAGATTTTGTAGGGTGTCAGAGGCACTTGTTTTATTAGGGAGACCACTTCTTGGATGGTGTAGATGCCTGACCACTGCACTGTACACCTGAAATTGAAGCTGAATAATACTAATGTCAACTATAATTTAACATATATAGTCACAGGATGTGGAGTACAGCATAGGGAATAGAATCAATGGAATTGTAACAGCTATATACATTGCCAGAGGGGTAGTATATTGGGGGAGGGGAGGTTATCACTTTGTGAGGGGTGTAAATGTCTTACTATTACATTGTTTTGTACACTGAAACTAATTTTTTAAAAAAGAATATTGTAATAACTAGGTATGGTGCCAGATAAGTACTAGATCCATCAGGGTGATAGATGGGAATGGGGTTGGAGGCAGGGTGAAAAAGGTGAAGGTATTAAAAAATACAAATTGGTAGTTAATACAGTATGGGGAATATAATCAACAATGTTGTAAAGATCATGTAAGGTGCCAGAGGGGCAGTGGATTTATCAGGGAGATCACTTCATAAACTGTGTAGATGCCTGACCGATGCCTATATGCCTGAAGCTAAAGTAGAATAATATTAAAGCTCAACTATAACTAAATGCATAGGTATATTAGTCACGGGATGTGGAGTACAGCATAGGGAAGATAGTCGATGGTATTGTAACAGCCATATAAGATGTCAGAGGGGTAGTAGCTTGGGGGATGGGTTATCACTTCATGAGGAGTTTTAATGTCTTAACTATTACATTGCTTTGTACACCTGAAACTCATAAAAAAAATTTTTTTAAAAGAATCACATTATAGTCATTTGAAAAGTTCGTTTATTATATACTAATATACACTTTCTGTAATAAAAAAAAGCCTCCCAATACATTGAACCATCTTATAAATGCAATAAGAAAATAAAATTTTCATCTGTTTATAAATGGGGTTAAATTAACCAGTACAAGAAACCATATGTATGTCTGCCCTGCAGTCTATGAGAACTTATCCTGAAAATGGCCATGAGAAACAAATGGTTCTTTATTAGTTGGCACTGTAGTATTGCTCTTGAATATTTATAGAATTACATACATTGATATTTTCAAGTTAGTCATTTCAAATGCAAAGTATTCAAAATATATACAGATTTTACAGTTTTCCATTTTTTTGGATTATTTGTTGATATTTACATTTAAATACATTCAGATTAAACATTTTTTAACACTCAGAAGGTATCTTTTTTCACTTGCTAGTGATGAATGAAAATATATTTTAAAGATGCTACTTGGCAATTTTTTTCTAACAGTAACCCAAAAGTTATGATAGTTTCTAGTAATGCTCAAATTCCATAACAAAGTGCACCATTTTACAGTATTATTGCCTCTAGAAAATAATACATAAAAATACATATTTTCTTAAGGCACATTTTAGAAAAAAACAATTGAAATATGATTTAATGTTATCATACTTATACTGTATTCATGATACGTGTATTCACACTTGGCCTTACTAAAATATAAAATATATAACAAATGTTCTTGCTACTGATTTGAAAAAAACAAGTAGCAAACTCCAGAAATTCCAGGTAATGAGTCTCATTTATAAATCCATTTCATGTATGTTGTAGAAGTGAGCAAAAATAATAGTTTGCTTCTGTTTGCAGTGTTAGCACTTTTATTTTTATGGAGAACCACTCAACATTGTATTAAATGGCAAATGAATGTCAGCCAACACCTGTGCAAGCTAAAATGAACTAGATGCTATTTTAGACATGCTAAATTAAACGAACAAGCTTCGTATTAATAATTATTTGCAAATAGGAACTTGTTTTCTTGTAGGTGATTATGATGTTATTGTAAACATTAGAGAAGAGCATTACTGAACCATATATAACTTAGGTTTCAAATTTAAAATATCCCCCATAGACAGATACATACAAATGGATTTTTGCACCCATCCACTTAATTCCCTGCCCCCACCCCCAATAATATAAATGTTTTGACTGTAAAGAGAGAAAACTACACATGTAAAAAATAACAATCAAATGTACCATACATTAAAATTCTGATGACTACAGAATAAGATCATATACATAAACATATAGCAATCACAGTTTCCTGCACTGAATGTTTATCAAATAAAAATGTATCAAACAATACTGGGTAATGTAGCTCCACGTGAACCGTGGCCTTCTAAAAATTCTGAATGAGAATGGAAGACGAGAGGGAAAGCATTGTTCAGTGACAAAAGTAGGACAAGAGGATTAGGAATAACATTAAAAAAAGCAAATGCTCCCAGAACAGGCAGTTTAGCTATACAGCATTATTTTTGTTGTTTCTCTACAATTTAAATAAAACCCCTCTCTATGTTTAGTAAGCTGTTTTAACATTTACAAAACAACAACAACAACAAAAACACCTAGTGAATGAAGAAGTCACTAATTCAACGTCACAAACAGGATGGGCAAATATTCCTTTACTGTTGACCATATGATGTTCTAACCTGGTGTGTGGTCATTCATGTGCCTTACAGGGACAGCTCCTAAGACAGCCTTTTGCCTCTGTTATTAAATAGACCCAGAGTTTTGGGTGCAAGAATAGGGAAAGGCATTAAGTGTAGTGATACATTTACCACCAGGGCATTTTCGGTTGATGTTCTGAGAATACAAGTATTTGGTACCTTTTTGGCAGGGGCAGGTGAGGGGAGTGGGGAGGGAAAGGTATTATCTGATGACCATTACACGCAGCTACACTTATTCTGCTTGTACAGCAGCAAAAATACATCATTTCACACTGCTTCTAGTAAAACCTGGGTAGAAGTGTGCACCACAGATTTTAAACACCTAAACAGCCATTCTTGAGAACAATGATGATTTTCTCTTCTGAAGGTACCTGGTGATGTCACTAGTAAACGTCCTTGGAATCTTCTTGTTATAATCAATATAACTCAGATGTCTTTTGGAGCATAATTTGCACCCATTTCCAGTAGAAAAAAAAAAGTATTTTTCCTTGGGTTAGTGATGCTTGGAACTTGGGGGATTGTAAATCCAGTCAGTTATAATGAGCGCCATGCTTCCCATCATGAAGATAATGCCAACCACAAGGAAAACCAAAGCCTGTAAGTCAAAGAGAATTTGTTAGGGAATAGGGAACCCTACTTATGTGGCACACTGTGTGCAAAGTAAATAAACAGGAAAGTGTTTACCTAAGGCAGCACCTGATTTGCATATTGAATTGCATTATTCTTATAGCTCAGATGTCCATGCCTAGCAGTTTAGTCAATTTAGAAACTTAGCTGGGGAAAGAGGGTGAATGTAGTGGAAATATTTAACCCAAATGTTCAAACTATGATAATGGTTCATTGATTTGGTATATCAAAATGATGGAATACCCTATGCTCTTTAAAAATTAAGTGATAGAAAACATTTAATGACCTAGGGAGAGCTCACAATCTTTTAGGTGAAAAGGGGCAGGTCATAAAATAGTACTATGTATGATATGATCAAAATTTATAAACAAACAAATAAAAACAAAAGCCTAACATAGGTTGCATATTCCTTGGAAAAAAGCAAAGTGTGTGCATGTAGTACAATGTTTTAGAATTTTAACACTAGAAGCAACCTTATATGTCACTGCAAAGATCGGCCTCTTAATTCAATGTACGAGAAAGGAGCAGCTAAAATTTTTTTCACTAGAAAGAATCTAGGATATAATGTCACTCAGTTTTCACATCTGACAAAACTGAAAATGGGTCAGGACAAGTAACTTGCCAAGGTCACACTGCTGTAAAATCTGAGCAAGATGGACTACATACAGTGGAAACTTTGGAGTGAGAAGATGGGAGGAGGTTTTGATATCAAACTGCCTTGAAGTCCCTGAACAACCCCAACAGGTGAATGACTCCCAGGCAAAATTCAGAGTAATTCAGTAAGAGGCATTCTTTTCAAGCCTTTATATAAGACTTTGTGAATTAGTCACTGATAATGTTTATTGGAAAAACAATTATTTCTAGTATATGTTTCTGTAGCTCTGTGATGGCAAAGAAAAACATACTCTTTAGCTTAATGAAACTGTGTTTTATATCTAAAGACGTTAACCGGAAAATGAGGGGCTCTGTTCTGTATCTCAGTCCACACCAGAGGACAACAAGATACTATGGAGGGGAAAACAAAAGCAACATCTTTTCCTTCGGCCCTTCAACCCTAATGACTATGATCAACATGTTTAAATTATTTCATAACACTGCTAGGGAGCCTAATTCCTTCCTGCATCATTCCCCATAGACACTGCAACAATAGCTGGGTGGTATAAACTGGCACACATGTGTGCCTGTGGGCAAACTCCATCAGCCTTTGACAGGTAGTAAGAATTCAACATAGGATAGTTGATACTTGAAGAGAAGAAATCCTGGAATCATCTGAGTGCCGGGAACCCACCCTCCTTTCTCTCCGCCAGAGAATTCCAGCTCATCTTTGATTTTTTGTTCTTGTTCATAAATTCTTTGCACCATGTATAGTTTCTGGTTGACTCTAAGTAGCCAAAGAGCAACATGTAATGGGGGAAATTGCAAGCCTTACTTACCCCAACCTTTTGGGGGGACCGAAGAGGTTCTTTTTTGACGAGTTTAAGATAAAAAGCTGCTGGAAGGATGAAAATCAGCATAGTGGCAGAAGAAGCCCCTGAGGAGAGAAACACAAGACAGATCAATATCTTATGTGGCAGGTCTGACTCGGCAAGGCAGAGACTCAGGGCATGCACTTTCATTTAGACACCAAATCTAAAGCTACCCCAACCTTAGCACTAAAAGCACTAAAGCTCATCTTGTTTGCTCATTCAAAGACATAAAGAAAATGAAAATGTCCCTAACAGCATAGCTGCATACTGAGTATACATAATATATAATAAACAATAAAAAGACTATTACAAATTTACAGGAAATTAGTAATACTATCAACACCTATTAAAGAGGTTGAACTCATCACACACTCTTCCTATCTACTTCCAACTTCTCAGGTTGCTAACACCTAATATTTAAAAGTTTTACATTGTATTTAAAATTGGAGCAATCCCTCAAATCAACAGAATAAAAAATGAAATATATTAATGGACCCTGTTAAGGGAATTAAATATATTTCCCTTAACGGTTCAGGGAAATAATATGTTTTACAAAATCGACCTCCTCTTTCTCCAAAAATACCTTTTAATGCTCAGCTGACACAGACCCAAGAGAGCACCCTGCAGGTAAAATCTACCTTCCTTGCTTTTTGATGTAGTGCTAAGACCTAAGTACAAATTCTGGGTCCACTCCAAGGTACGTGACTTGACTTCTACGTGGCTCAGTTTTCTCGTCTGTCAGAAAAGGCAATTGGACTAGATGACCTATAAGGTAGCTTTTAGCGCTAATGTTTTCTGATCCTGTGAATAACTTCTAGTGTCTGCTGGGAGGAAGTGGAGGGGACCAGTTGGAGCCCCGCTGGACTAATAGGAATCTTGTGAGCCTGATTTGAATGGAGATCCTTGACTTCCCAACGCTGGCTCCCTATCCACCATTTAAGGAGATATCAGCTTGAGTTGACTAAATAAAAGGCTTTCTGAAACTTACCTATGAATCCAAAGATGTATTTTATAGTTGGCACAAGGATGACCAAAATATTATTAAGTGCAAGAAGTATGGCTGCAATCAGGAAATGTCTTATCCAGCTGAAGGGTCTTCTGGGAAATAGCAGTGTGGTCACAGATGTACGAATCTGCAACAAGAAAGTCAAAGGCAAGGTCATTGCTTTATTTTTTACTTTATTATTTCAAATATTCTCATTGCTCTGGAGTGTTTTCTTTGTTTTTCCTTTTTCTCCCAGAAAAGATTTTGATGCTGGTTTTTTTTAAAGAATTTTTGATTGTGGTAAAATACACATAACATAAAATTCACCATCTTAACCATTTTTAAGTGTACAGTTCAGTGGAATTAAGTAAATTCATATTGTTGTGCAACCTTGATGCTGAATTTTGATGTTTGAGATAGTGTCATTTTTCCTTGGTGATATATTTTGTGCTCATTTTCTCAGCTTTCAGAATTTTGTCTTCAAAATAATCTCAGTCAGAAAAAGATAAAATAACAGATATGAGATAAAATTCAGAGACCTGGTAAAACCCTTGTTGATTTCTAATCATGTCTTATCAGACTGGATTAAGCATTAATTGCCAGCAATGCATTGATTTGCATGGGATTAGGAATGGAATTGTTACAAATCTGGGTTTTTCTTAATTTTGCATTGTAATGAATATATTTTCCACCTGATACTTAAAAAATGATACTCTTTCTGTTTATTCCTTTCTCTCTCTCCCCCTTTATCTTTTTCCCTCCTCCCCCAATTATAGATTATAAATGCACGAAAGACAAGGAACAGGACCTAATAATCTTAACATTCCTCAGAGTTTCTAGCTTAGGGTCCTGCACACAGCAGGCACTCAATAAATGTTGCATTAAATCCAACAGAACGACTCGTTTCCCTCCCTTTAGGATCCTTGACAGATTTCAGCCCTATTTTACCAGCTGAAATAAGTAGGCAAAGGGTCAAAAGAGGCTCCATTTGCAGCCACCACTCAAGTTACTCTGATGTAACTGGATAAAAAGATCCTTGTGAGTAGAGGGAGGGAGTGCCAGTTACATGAACAGCTTAACAAAGTTGAAAATACTCTTATCTTTGGAATCTTTTAGACCTAGTGGAATTAGTTTGTTGGTTTTTCAATAAGTGAGCACTTCAGTTAAGCTGGAACTTTATATTTTTAGAAATGCTGGGATTGGTTTTTACTTTAAAATTTTACTTCTGAAGTCTCTTAATGGCACGGAGATGGGAATTTACTTAAAAGAGAGAAAATGTAAAATATATTTTGAAACACATGTATGAAATGACAAAAACTTCGAGCTGAATTGCTTGCAGTTTCTAATGTAACATTCCTTTCATACCACTCCACCAAAAATTGAAGCCATCTGTTCAGGTTTAAAGGCAATTTCATTTCCAGAATTGCAAACCAGATAGACTCTGGAAATGATTTAAGGCTGGCTTTGTGACGGATTTTAAAAATTGGATTAGTGAAAATTATGAAAGTCACTCTGAAAAGTTGGACTGAGGAAAGCAAATGCTTTGATTTTGTTTTCCCCAGCAGCCTATAAATTATGTCCTACAATTAGAGCTTATTCAATATTGTCCAAACTGGACTAACTAGTGTGTTTAAATAAGCTTTCTGTGGTACATATGCCGTGCTTAAGGATTTATTTGTCTGAAAAGGCTAAATTGATAGAATAAGTAACTTAGAGTACATGTTATTTTTTTAGGCAGAGGTCACATCTATGTGCTTTTTAGTCCTGTTACAATAATGCATTGAATTCAATAAGCTGAGTTAGAGGCAATCTTATATGTACAGTGCCTCTGAATGTCAAAGGTTTCTTAAGGTCTTATGGTTCCCAGGAAGACTAAGGTTTGGCCTAATGATGGAAAAGACAGAAAGTGTGCAGGATTAATGGTTGGAGTAAATGGTGAATGCTTGCTCCTCATAGCGAATAATGAATAACAAAACCCCAACAAGAACAGATGATGTGCAGAGTTGCCAGAGGGGCAGGCAACAGGGCAAACAGGGAGATAGGCTGCTGGTGGTGGGAGAAAAGAAGAGAAGGGACCTTGCTGGACATTCCATGTTAAATGCTGCCTTGAATGGTGAGCCTGGGATCAAAAGATCCCCAGCAGTTCTCTTTGCCTGTGTCAGGATAGAAGCAACTCTCTTGGCTTATTGCCCACCAAGTGTTGCCTGCTACTTCACTTATCTAAGTGCCCTTTTCTCTACAGACACAAACTGATAAGAATCTGGGTCAGATGCTGTGGGTGCGAAATGTCCTCAGCAACAGCCATGGCTTCTGACAGGGAATGAGTCCAGAAAAATTCTATGCAGCTCTAGAAAAAACCTCTGTTATTTTCAGAGAGAGTGTTCTGAACAGGAGCCTTTCAGCACATGCTATGCTGTAATGTGGGGACCCAATGTGGAAGTCAGAAATGTGGAGGCAGACTAGAAAGTGGAAGCCTTAGTTCTGAATAAAAAATAAAAAATAAATTCTGCTGAGGAGTAAATCAGAGTTTCACTTTGTAGGATTACTCAGGACAACAGGCCTGGAAATACCTCTGGGTCACTGTTCTACTCCAGTGCATAGCCACATCTGCCATATTCCTGTGCCTGTATCTACATATACTTCAAAGCAGGGTATCTGAAGGTAACATAGCTGAGAAGAATAAATTTGCTGTGGTAACATGAAGTAGAAGTAGCTAGAGAATCTGAGACATGATCTCTTTTTTGTAAGGTGTGGCAGGTGGAATTTGAGTCTCTGTGTTCTTGATAAACCCGTTTTTTCTGTTTTTCATGGTGTTGTGTGAATTTTACTGCATAAAGGGAAGCACAAGTGAATGCAGCATTATTAGTCCTTGGAGAGGAGGTGTAGTCCCATAATAGACACCCTGCCCCATATCATCCCCCTCCTACTACTAAGACAGAGAAAAGCAATGTTGGGCTGCTAGTGAAAAAGCTGGGGTTTTAATTCACTTCATTTACTTATTTGTTTAACAAACATTTCAACCTGACACTATGTGCCTTTTACCAAGAAAAACAAAAACTAATCTAACTGGAGAAAAGAAAGATAATAAATAGATTAATCAAAGAAAAACCATCCAGTCATCCAACAACAACAACAAAACCTTTCTCATATCTTCCTGGGTTCAAAGAAAGAGAGCCCAATTATTTATTGAAAAAAGGAGAAGACAAAATAATACCTAAAATGGACAGGTTTTAATCCAGATTAGGTTTTATTTGCTTGTTTGTGTTATTATTTGTATGTGGGCATAGCAAGGCAACGTAAATAAACTTCTTATTGGTCAAGAGTTTCTTATTCAAAGAAACCTGTAGGAGAACCACACTATGACCAGCATTTCACACATTAAAAATCTTGGCTCTAAATTGTAACAAACAAAAACACCACTAACAACTTCTTCTATCACTTTGGGGGAAAAGTGTCTGAATGTAGCCTTGTGCAAGGGGCTTCACAGAGACAAGAAGGCTGGACCCGCCTTTATTTCGTCCATTACATCCAGGGCAGCTTGGTTCATTTAGCCCAGATCCTCACCCAAATTGGAGTTCAAGGCAAATGTCAGCAAGGGGAACAGCCTATGCTTTTACTAGAAAAGGCAGTTTGTATATCTCAAGAAAAGGCAAGATTCATTTGAAGGCTGTATTTCTTAGTAAACATTGCTGAGCTCATCCTGTGCCATCACTACGCACATCTCTAACCTCCAGGGACTTATCCATGTAAGATGGACAATTACATGGATCATCTCAATGTAACATTGTGAGGGCAAAACAGAATTACACACACAGTGTTTCATAAATGCTAAGGTTGAGTGAAAACACAGAATTAATTATTTTTCTGAAATTTGCTCCTAATGGTCAATTTTGGTTCTAATGGACATTGATGAAGGATGTTTACAAATGACTGCCATTCCCATCAGTCAGATTTATATGGATGCTTATCTGTCACATAGGGGGGAAATTTCTATGCGGATGTCTAGATTTTTAATGTCTAGGTGAAATGGTCATCAGTAAATGAAAAGCTGACTTTCACATTCCATTATCATGATCACAGCCTTCAGTGTCGTGCTATGAGCACTGTATTAGTTCAACTGTTACCCACTAGCTGTGTCACCAGAGCCAAGTCCATTAATCTGCTGAGAACATGATTTCAAAGTACTATATTCAGGTCTTATGAATAAAGAAATATGGAAGCACATAACAGATTTCTTTTATAAAATGCTTTGATTCAACAATGATATGAATGCCTGCTGTGTACCAAAATTTAGTTAGTGATATCCTCACATAACAAAAAGGAGGGCTCCCGACATTCTTTGCCCAGTGACACTGTTTGCTTAGAAATGTGACCCTGTAGTACACTTTCTGTCTACAGCTGTCTTCTGCCTTGTAACCACAATGGAGCTGATTTGAGGCTAAAGCTGTGTGCATGTCATCTGACATACTTTCAGATATATGAGAGGAAAGGTATTATTTAAGAGTAAAATATTAGCCAACATAGTAATAAGGATCTGATTTCATGCTCATGAGAAAGGAATGTGCCAAAAAAATACTTCAGCACACAAACTGCATTTAAAGTGACCACAGTATCATTATGCGAGTAGCCCTCATACAACTCGGCCCTACTTTTATATGAGTAGCCCTCATATGCTTGAAACAGAAAGTGTCACAATCCGTACAGTATGGAACATTCTGTACAGGGCCGTGCCAGTTACTGTGTTGCTTATTTTTCCCCCTCAAATGAATGAGTAAATTCAGTGTTTATGAAAGGAGAAGAGTTGGCAGGGGAGTGCAGACCTATATTTATCCATAGGTGGTGGTTTTAGCTTATGCAGCCCAAATTTCCCTGACCAGCCTGCTCTGTGATCCCAGAAAAACTGACGCCAATGGGAAATGCAAACTCACATTTATAATTAAGTCTCCATCAAGTCAGAGCATATGTACTAATCTATGGAGTCAAGCAGGATGCTTTCATCAGAGCTCCATGTACTTACTGGGAACAGAACAATGGGCACAGTCAGTGTCACTGCCACAAGGACCGCCAGGCGCACCATGAGGAGAGGGGTGTCAAACGTGTACACTTTGCTGTAAGCATGAAGTAATTCATCTTCAACTTCTCCTGCAAAGAGGAAGAAGAGAAAGAGTCCATTTGGTGTTGTCAAGTCAGCAATGGTTACCTGTGGCGACATCTTATGGAGGGAACACAGTACAGTAGGAAGAACCCAGGTCTGGGAATCCAGACACTTCTGTTTTTACCCTGTCTGCAAGCTTATTAGCTGTGTGACCTTTGAACAGGGGGCCCTGAAGCTTAGAAGGTTGTAGAAGCTAATATGAAATTGCTGAGAGGCTTTTGTAGCTCATTTGCATCGTGATAAATCTCTCTGCTCTACAGAAGCATCACAAAACAAAATGAAGTTAAAAACCCCATCAAATGGTGCTCCCCCTCCTCGTCTTTTCCTCCTCAACTTGTCCTGCAATCGTCTTGACTCACTGAGTCAGTCAGAAAAATGCAGAAAGTTGTATTTATACAAAAAAAATATATATTTATTTGATCACACTGATTAGTGTGAACAACTGATACCAGGTCAATGTTTGACTCCCTGAGATTTGTCTATAGAGAGAGCCATGTTTCATGGAAGGAAATGACAACCCTATTCCTTTTGTGTCCTGTTAATATGCCGTAGAGGAAATGTTTTAGGCATAGTCATATATATATATGTACACATATTTGATAGTACATTCCAAGATTGAAGGGCATTCATTCATATACATTTCTTTGTTTAGGAACCCATTCACTATAACACAATAGAATGGGATAAGCAAAAAAAAAAAAAGCCTAATGCTCCAAGTTCTCAGACTCAACTCGACTAGTAAATACGAAGCAGGTTCCAACTCAAGGATGTACTTTTTTAGCCATTTGCTTGGTAGTTAGTTATTCCACCAAAAGAGCTTTATAACATGCAACTGGCTTCACTCTTATTGCTTCTAGACTGAGGAGGACTAGGGAGTGAAGCCAAGGAAATATCATCTATACCTAAAGGAAAATAATTAAATTTGAGGGATTAAAAAAAAAAATAAAACATGTGAATCACAGATTGTTGTAACCTGTTAGCCAGGCTGGTTCAGGTCCCATTTTCTTAAGTTAAATGACAAGTCTAAAAGAGCATGTTAATCTAGTACTTCTATCCATAGAACTTGCTGCTTATTGAGGGTGATTAAAACAATTATACCTGCCGGGATTAATGATCAGTCCCACTAGGATTTGCAAAAAGAGAATGACTTGACAGAGTGACCTACCATAAAAGGTTAGGTAACCAAAGAGGGCAGCAAACAGGTACATGATGAGCATCCCCGTGATGGAAATATTTGACACTGTTTGCATCTTCCTCCGGGACCGGCTGAAAAGAAAAAGAACATGGAGGGGTTTTTGTTTGTTTGTTTTGTTTAATTTATGAACATATCCCTCTTTAGAAATCAAATTTTTAAAATAATGTATGTCTGTGTTGCTCATTAAAAAACCTCATTTGCAGTGCAGAAACAGCTTATTTAAATTTGTCTTAGAGAGCTATGGAGGATTTGTTTTCATTTTTCTATTCCTTCAGTCTTAGAAACAACCATTTTTCTGGAAGGGGACCAGTTTATTTTGTGTCGATAAGTAAACTTGTCTCCTAAATATTTAAGAATGTAATTAATATAAAGATCAAATTGGTTCCTACTGTAGAAAGCCTTCATGTTTTATAGTAGATGGGTTTAATAAGGACAAGAACCTACTAGAATCAGTAAAGCCCTACTTCCAGGAGTTCTGGTATTATAACGAGGATGGTTGGTACTATTACCTGGATAGCTTCTGGAAGCCATTCTAGAAGGCACCCAGTGGCTTAAAGTCAATTGTCAGGCCTCTAGAGTAACTGCTACATGTAATTTTCAAAGTAAATCAAAGACACCAAAATAATTGAAAATGTTTCAAAAATTTTTTTGTGAGGTGAATCAGAATTTATGGGGAAAGTTATTGCTATTTAGTAAGAATGAAGACTGAAGTTGTTGATGGCTGGGTTTAATAAGTTGAAAATTATATGGCATTGTCCCTTAAGGGTAAAGAAGGAAGTTGCTATAAGTGGGCTCAGATCCAATTTATACCCAAGTAGATATCAACAACCTCAAAGGGAAAAGAGTATTATCGATTCATGCAATATCAGCTGGAAGAAACAAGATTGTGTAGCCAGTGTCTTCATTGTACAGATAAGACAATAAAGGTCAGATGTTGGCACATCTCTGTAGTGAATTATTCTAGACAAGGTGTAGGGACTGACCACAAGTGACATCAGAGGCTTAACACGGACACCCTAACTATAATTTTTGGTCTTCATGAGTGTGGTCTTTTCCAGTTCAGGTGACATTACTTCTTTCCACCAAAATTCAAACTGAATTCCCCATGCCAGCCAAAATCTTTACAGCCATTGGCTCCTCCTCCCCCTTTCCTGAACTCCCTCCCCTGGACAATTTCTGTGGAGAAATAGGAGAGAAGGGAGCAGATAGGTTAGTGTAGTAAGGGGGTTGATTCCTATCTTTTAGGTTAAAGCATGTTACTGAAGAGTGGCTGTAGCACAGACTTTCTCTGAAGAGAAAGCTGTAAACCATGCTCCTGTATAAAGCCCCTTTGAACATATGAGCCCATTTTCAAAGCAAATTAGAATACTAAAACAATGGCTGCCTTACTCTTTAAGTTCACTGTAGATGGGAAGGACCTCAGGGTGGCATACAAAAGCAAATGCTAGGATAGGAATTGCATAGGCCGTCTGAAAAACAAAGACAACACCGCATGTTTAGCATTCTGACCACAATGACAATCCCAGGCCATCTCAGTTTATAAAATAAAAATTCAAAGGCAACATTTCTAGGTTCATCAGAGGCCCAGGCCTCTCACTTACCCGGGAGTTGAATACAAAGTATTTGGGTTGACACTTGTCATCACTGTGTGCTTCGTACTCTACTCCACTGCCATGAAGAGAGCCCTTGGCCTGGTTCTCATCTAGCCCTGAAGGATTCTGGTGGGCGTAATCCATCATGAAGTTCACATCACTACTCTCAGAGTTATTGGGTAACATTACCACATGCATTGGAAGTGTATTGTTGAATGTCAGATTTCCAACATTGTGATCCAGAATGGGTAGAGGGCAGGGTATTTGGAATTTTTTATAAATCACCTAAATCATTAAAAAAAGAAAGAAAGAAAGAAAGAAAAAGTTAGCCTTTTGAAGAAAACAATGAAATGAAAATCCTGTGTGTGGCTTATGGAGTGGAGGTGAGGGGCCTGTGCTGAGGATTCCTTTTAGACTAACAGACAATGGGGACGCCCTTTAGCCTCTGTCCTAAGGAAGGAGTTGGAACTACAGTTGGCAGCCTGGCCCCCTTAGAGTCCACAGGACAGGATTTTGCATGAATCCATCCTAAACTTCATTCATACTCTTCCACAAGAAAGATGATCATTTCCTTGTTGTATTTCATATCTTTTAATTCTTTAAACCAATAATAAATAATATGGGTTATCAAAAATCCTCCTCTCCTCCTTTACCTCTTTGGGAAAATACTATGCAGATTTTAGCATCCATGATATTACAAGAAAGTCCCCCTTTCGGCAGGGCATGGGGGGAAGTGAGGAGATTTCGCTCTTCTTGGGTAGCAAGAGAAAAGGACAGATGCATGCAGATAGGGCTGACTCTAGCCGACTCATTTCTCTTCGGGGACTCTTCCTTGCTTCTTCCTCTACCTTTCAAAATACTGGGTTATTGTCATGTTCCTGCTTGAAGTGTTTCTTGTGTCCAAATAGACATTGTATGCTGAAAACATACTATTAGCAAAGGCCTTGACATTCTAACTCAACTATTTTTAAACTCATGACTGTTCTTTTCTCATTCCAAACTAGAATATAAAAAAAAAATTGCTTTTTTTTATGGCAGAACTCCTTCATGCTAATCAAGTGCTTGAACGAAAAAGAGAACACTAATTCAGGCACTAAAAGCACCTCATGCTCCCCAAGCTATAAGCATCATGTCAATAATTCACTTACCACACTGACAAAAAACAGCATGCAGGTAAGTGAAAATCCGCTGGTATAACCAAGGTAACCTAGGGGTTAGCAGAGAAGTTCGAGAAGGTGAATAAGGCATCTATAATCAGCTTACCTATTAGAATGTAAAATGAAAATAAAAATAAAAAGCAACTTTACCTAAATTTTTAAGAAGAGAGAGTGGAAGAATGATTCCCACCGACACAAATATGACGAGGTAGTTGCCATTGAGGTACCATTCTCTAGAAGAGAAAGAAAGGCCAGAACATCGGAATGAGAAAATACCAACTAGAACGAGTCAAGTGACATTACAGGGCGAATATAAGACATACCCAGAATTTTCTTCAAGTCCCATGAATGCTCTGATTACTTCAGGCAGTTCGTATTTAATGATGAAGAGGTAGCTTGACATTGCTAAAAATGAAAAACATGACAGCTAAGTGTTGTGCCCAGCACTAAAGTCACAGGCAAGTTGTGAGAAGTCCTTGCATTTGGGAAATACATTCTTTCTCAGTAAGATAAGCATCTAATCCCCCAAACAGAAAGAAAAGCCACCCACTGTGAATTTTGTACTGCTTCCAAGTTCTTTTCAAAAATAGACATTTGGCCCTCTGGCTCTTGTGTATGGAACTGTGCTAAGAGTATCAATGCTGATCCTGTGTTAAAGTCAGCTCTGAGGTTTTCAGCAAAGCTGCACTTTGAACGTTTTTCCCTTCAATTGTTGTAAGTTGTCATGGGCTGTGCTGAGTGTGCCTGTTTTAGTGTCTATAACTTGGGGAGGGGTCTGGCAACAAAAGGCATGGGTGAAAAGAGAGAGGCTGGAATTGCAGGACAGAGCTGGGTAGACTACATGGCACTCTGGCTCTCCCAGGTGGGGGCCAGTCTGTTCCTCTGTAATCTCCCTGAGCGACACACAAGGTCTCAGACCACCGATTGTCTAAACTGGAGTCATACTGGATTGGTAAAAGAATACAGGAGATGATAGCTTCTATCCCCTTTGTCAATGAAGTTTTTTCCCCCCTCTATATCCTAATCTCCCTTTGGCCAAATAAGAAATTACACAAAGTGGCAAAATTTCTTGAGCATCTAGGTAAGAAATATACATGTGATCATGTACTCTTCCAAAAAGTTAAAGAAATCTATCCACCCTCTCCCTGAAAAAAATATATATACATATGAATAACACAATTTTGCCTACAATTGTAGGGATTTATGCAACGTCAGACTCAATTAAAAATAAACTGACAAGCTTTGCATTGGTAGCTTTAACTGTATGCTGCATCCTACTGGTGAATTGTTGCTAACAGATTTTAAAGCAGGTTCCTAAGTTGCAAATTGAGCTATTAATATTAAACTAAGGAACATGAAAGATATTTCCTTAACCTCAAACAAAAGTAATAATAGTGATAATTCCCCACATTGTTTAGCTCTGCCCATTACTCCATTCAATCATCTGAAATCACCTGTGAAACAGCAAGATGTATGTTATTATCTTCATTACATAGCTGAGGATATAAAGGTTTTGAGAGCTTAAATGACATGTCCAAAGTCTCACAGCTTGAAAACTGTCATTTCCAAAATATAAGTTCCCTGATTTTGGGCTAGTGTTTCTTCTCTATTGTAAAGTGAAATGATTCTTACAATAGCTAATGTATCTTCTGCAAACAGTATTTGGTTAATCTTTACAAAGACCTTGGCTAAAGCTAAATCTTGCCGAATGTAAATAGAGGAGATATGTCTGATTAACTGGCTCAGTGAGGTAACATTCAATTTTAGAAAGCTATTAATTGCTGACGTTCAGTGATGTTACCACTGTTAATGTGTTTGGTCTTTGAAAATTCAGAACGATACAGGCCTGTCTGGGTAATGTCAACAGTATTCTGCCAGTGTTGAAACATCCATGGTAAATGTTAATTTTTCAGGGGACTGAGAAAATTAAACGTTTTAAATGTGGAGTTGCTAAATACAGAAATACAAGTGATTTTCCTTAGGCCAAAATAACCGCTAATCATATAGAATAACCAAAGTGAAAGAATTTTCAGGAACAATGTATAAAATTTCATCTTACTCCTTAAAGCCACACTTCTTTTCATGTGTGTGGCTTGATCGAGAGACCACTTTATAGTTTATTTGATTATTTAGATGCATATTAGTAGCTATACTTTGAGCAACAGACAGTGCTATTGCCACTCAGCCTGTTGGGCTCAGGGATAAATATGCATAAGGTTATTTCAGTTGCCCAAAGAAATAAGTTAGATCAACTATGAGGTGATCCTATAAAATGCTTGATACCTTAAATCTTGACAAGGCTGAAAATTTGAGCCAAATGTACAGCATTCTATTTGGTGGGGGATTGGGAGCCGATATGGTTGTGGTTCCAAACCAGCGAAATGAATGATACAATCCTGACATTATTGTCAAATTCTACCCAGGATTGTAGTCTTAACTATATAAAAATATGAAGAGAAACAAATACAAATCATTAAGATATGCCTGAATTTTATTTATTTCTTCGCTAACTATCCATTAGAGGAGCAGGTATAGTTGGATAAAGGTTATTAAAGGAATTGCTGCATTCCAGAAATCCTAAATAACTCCAGTGATTTTTGTTTATCATAAAGGGTTACCTTTTTGCAAGATTTTTGTGCAAGTTTATTTACTGCAGCATTGTTTGTAATAGTGAAAAACTGTTCATCAATAGGGGATTCAGTAAACCAATTATGGTGTAATTGTACAAAGGAAAACTTGACAGCCATTAAAAAGAATAATATGCAAATATATTGAAATAACAAATATATGAAATTGTTAAATTTTAAAAACCAAGCTGAAAATCAATGTTATAAGATGTTGTGATTTTAACAGTAACGGTATATTGGTTAAGTTTGGCGTAGAGGAAAACCTGGAGTAGTTATTTCTAAGGGTGACTTGCATAAACATTTCTTTATAATTTATGTATTTATGTAATGTTTTAGTTTTTCACAGTTAGCATATATTTGTCTTATAATTATAAAAATGCCCATTTAGAAAATAATCAGAAGGGCTCCAGAGAGAATGGATATTGAATCCCACAACCAGGGAAGAAGGAAGCATTATTATGTGAACTCTTATTATGTGCCATATGTTATCTTATTTCATCCCCACAATGACCTTGTGAAATGGAATATTACTCTCATTTTCATAGATAGAAAATTAGAAGAGTAAAGTGATTTTCCCAGGGTCACAGTTAGTGACAGAAACAGACTCAAATTCAAGTGCGTCAAGAATACAGAAGTCTATTATCTATGCAAGGTTTTTAAAATATCTTTTCAAAAAAAGTAACAGATTAGATACCTACAAAGAAGGCTAAGGGAGCCCAGAGGAACTACTAGTCCCTAAAAGCCTACAGAAGCAATGGCTCATGGGAAGGGGGGAGGGATGTGTGTGTGTGTGAGTGTGTGTGTGTGAGTGTGAGTGTGAGTGTGTGTGTGCGTGTGTGTGAATGTGTGTGTCAGGGTTGGAGGACTATAAGAATAGAGGAACTGAATATAGTTTGTGATGGTATGATGGTATGACACAGGACACATAGGGGATAGATAGATAGATGATAGATAGATAGATTTGAGGGTTATAGGAAAAGTATCAGAAAGGTAGGTGGAGAAAAGATGATGGAGACCATTATGTGTTAGGCCAAAGAGTTTAAATTTTACCTTGAAAATAATGAGGAAGAATTTTATGCACAGGAGAAGCAAGAATAGATTTGAATTTAAGAAAGCTAATCTGAACGATGAATTAGATATGGGAGCAGAGGAAACTCAAGGCAAGGAGACCAGTTAGGAGGCTGCTACAATAGTCTGAGCAGAAATGGTGATCACTTGAGCTGTGGTGGTGAGAACAGAATGACGGGAGATTCAAGAGCTAAGTAAGAGATAGAATGGACAGGAGCTGGTTTGCATTTGATTGGATATTCATAGTTAAAGAGAGACGGAAAGGAAAAATTTAGGATGATACCCAGATTTCTGGCTTAAGAAATTGGATACTGCTGGTATTATTCATTGAGAGAAGAAAGAACAGAAGAATAGAATAGCAGGTTTTGGGGACTGGGTAGGAGGTGAGGACAAGCGCCACTATGTGGGTATATAGTCTGGACCACGCAGGGGGACATAGCCAGTAGGACATCTGAAATTAGGCCTAGATGCCTTCTGAGGGTCAAAGACACAAACAAGAGGCCTAGTGAAGCTGATGGGCAAACATATCACCTGGAACACTATTAAAAATGCATATCTCTAGGCTTTATTCTGGAAATTATAATTCAGTAGGAATTATAAAAACCTGTAGAATCAAGCCATCTATGGTTTATAGTGCTTCTGACACCTAGCTAGACTTCACCTTAGCACATCTCTAAAGGGCTGGACCTGTGCGGGCTCAGGGACTCCAAAATTTGGCTATACCCCTCAGATGCTTAATTTTCAATTTTATGAAATAAATTCAGTCATACATATAAAACATCAACTGTTCTGGCAATGACAAAAATAAGTATTAATGCTTTAATTTTTCTTTGAAAAATAGCATTTGAAATCAAGGAAGTTTTTATTCTATTCTATGTTTTAATTCTAGAATTCAATTGGTAGGTTTCTATATTGTATTTCATTCTTACATGTTGGTATTTTTAATTAAAGAGGGACAGCAGGTCTATTTAAGAAAATTTATCTTTTTAACTTAAAAACTACAAAGCTGTTTTTCTGGATTGAAAGCGCTTCTGTATTGCCCTAAGAGTTCTCTTCTGCACTGAACGTTCTTTGGAAAGTTGAAGTCGCCTGTTGAAAGTTATATCCCCTTACCTCCGATGTTCTGCATTGTAATGGAAATGAAAGCTCCAATTTTCCCAGGCCATCCAAATGCCTTTTCCCCTAACTTTTCATAAATTAGAGATCCTACAATCAAAGACAAAATAACCTTTGTTAAAAAGATTGTTTTAATGACTCAGATATGTCTATAACAAAATTCTACAATGGACTGTCAAACATGTAAATAAGCACCATATAGAAATTATAAAACCCAAAAAGATGCAATCTCAGAAACGAATACGAAACAGGTGAAAATGTTCTTCAAACAAGAAGCAATGGCTTCATTCCTGTTAGCTCCATGCGGTTAAGTCAAAACTGTCACTTGCATCATCCACCAAAAATCTCTTTTTCTATTTGGCTTCCACCTGAGCCAATTGACTTTCACCGCTCTCAGTTGCCCAAATAACCAGAAACATTGAGAGACCACGTTACTGGGGTCAGAGGAAAAGGAAATGTGACATTGACTCACATCATCCTTCAGTTATGGAGCTACTGACTGAAAAACTTTTAATGAGAATCAAAATAGAACATTTTGGACTTAATGAGTAGCATACCTCCTTCCTTTGAAGTCTTTAACAAGAGGTGAACTGAATAGAGTGATAATATCGCCACAGCGAGCAGCATGATTCTGTGAAGGGAAAAGAGAGTAGAAAATAAAGTTTCTGTAATAAGTAAGACATAATAATGTTAGATATTACAATAAATTGTCACGTTGGTCTTTTTAATTAACTTTCAAAAAGTATGTGGATTTGGGGGAAGCCGAGAAATTCTTTTCAGCGTTCCACACATACTCTTTAATGTCACAGAACTGGAATTTGAACATATCTTGTTTTTAGTGTTACCAAACTTCGTGGTTCAGAACTTCAATGCTAAATGTATAGCAAACTTAGCAAATACTAAATCTACTTACTCAGCACATGGGTCTATGTGCATCTTATTTGCATGATATTCACACGAACACATATATTGAAGTGCTATTCAATAGTCTGACTGAAACTTAATCTAAAACTCTACAAATAGAACCCAAAGCATGTAATGTCTGAGCCCCATTGCTACTGATCTGGCACATTAGATGATAAGACACTTTGTGAACAAGAGGGTCAGGCAATTGCCTGTGTAATAGAGAAACAGAGAAAGGTAAGTATACGGTGCAAAAAAAGTCCTTTTCTGTATTCAGAAAAAATCACTTCTGGTTCAGGACCTTCCACATGTACACATACATGTATGGTTTCTTTATGTAGATAGTGATCGGTGTTGCTCCCAAACCAAGAATTGGAGAGCAAAAATAAGGGTAGATAAAAGCATCTGTATAATAAATTAAGGAACAATACTAAACTTTACCTGGAATTTTTTTTAAATCATATTTGCGTCTGTTTTACATGATGAGAGCAAACTAAACATTTTCCCCACGATTGACAATATTCTTTGGTAATTCCTACCGAACTCGGTGTTGCAAAATGTACACTTGGACCATGAGTTATTCATTTTATAGCTACTCTATACTGTGCTCTTATTTTCCATAAAGTGTTTGCCAGAACTGCGTAATCAATGACTTGTTCATGTATTTTTCCATATGCCTTATGAACTTACCTACTTTTAAAGAATTACATAATTCAGATTATATAATTTTGTTCCCTGGAAAAATAATGAGCATTCTCTGTATACTAAACATAGGCTTGCTTTGGCAGAAAACACTAAGAGTAAAACCAGTGAAACCCTGTGTCACTTGCTGTGAAATAAGGAAGAGAGCTGAATCCCGTCTGTGCCGCTTGGACACACAAAACACATCCACTGTGTCTAGCCATTTAGCTGCTCTGGCAAAATTAAACTGCTCCATGTTTGTAAGCCTGAAATGAGGCCCTTGGGTTTAAAAGTGGAATATTCTCCTCCCATGAGAATGATCTGTGGCTCTAGGATTTGGGGAAGTGTTTCTTTTCCCTAGTAATGGGTGATCTATGCTACCTTCCTAATTATTTTTAATAGTATAACAAGGAGAAGGCAGCCCTTTTTGTCTTAGAGATAGTGTACATTGCAAAATTATACAACTGTATAGATGAACACATCTCTAGCCATTAAAATTAAGAGAATTAAAAATAAAAAGGTTTATTTCAAACATGGCTTATAAAAGTAAAGTTAACATAAAAAACCCACTCAGGTAACAAATATTGTAACTGAAACATTTCAATGAAAGCGCTGACACAACATAAACATTTATAGTCCTGCCTGATCCTTAGCCCTCAAATAGCTTGTGATTATCTAATCATAAGTGATGTACAGAGCATAAATAGCGTATTTTTGTAATATAAATGTTGCATTCTTAGACAGTTATTTAATGCTCTAGCATTGCATTGGGGATTGTGATGCGTTCACACTGATGCCTGACTAACATTAGACTTTATTCTTGTAAAGAATTCCAGTGCTGCCAACTGTGTCTTAGAAAATACCAGGGAGTACGTAATACACACAAGCATCTGGGGCTGTCTGTCACAAACAGTGCAATATCCATCCTCCAGGTCAGGTATGTGGCATTATTACTTTGAGGCAGCATTTGACTACATTTGATTAAAATGAATAGGTTTAAGAAATAAACTTGAGCCACTCTGTAAATACTTCCTGTGCCAAGCAATGTACTAGGTCTTGGGGATGCAGACATGCAGTGAGCCAAACCAGGCCTGGGCTCACCTCTCTGGAGATTATAGTGTAGCAAGGAAGATAGACATTAATCAAATGAATCAGACAACTACCCTAAAATATTACAACTGCTGAGTATATAATAAGGTGATTTGTCCCAGTCATGGAGGTCGGGAAAGGCAGCACGGAAGTGAGGCTTAGCTGAGATATGAGGAGTTAACTGGATGAAAAGGAAAAGGGAAGAGATACCAAGATCATGTGCAAAGGCTCTGTGGTAAGAGGAAACATGGCTCCTTCACGGGATGGAGAGAAGGCCAGTGTGCCCAGTGTATCTGGCACCCAGGGACATGGGGATGGGGTATGACATGAGACCAGGGCGTACAGAGCTCTGTAGCCTGGTTAGGAATGGGATCTTTTTCCTAATAGTGTGATAAAGTCATATTTGCTTCTGGGAAAGATCTTTTGACTACTAACACTAAATTATTTTAAGCATCCACTGAGCAATGAATTACTTTTTTAAATGGTCCTAAGGACTGGTGGGTCTGCTCCATCACTTTGGGTGGTTGTGTGCATAAAGTTTCTGCCATGTTGTTAGAGATGGTTGGTTGAATAAGTACTATGATTAGGCTGCTTTGATTATTCCTCAGGTTACTATTTTATCTAAAAGCAAGAGGAATATGCCAATGCTTTCTCAGGTTATTTCTGTTCACAAAGATCAAACTTCAGATTGTTAATTGAAAGAGCACCAGGTATGCACAGGCCTCGAACCAAATGTAGATATGTCCATTCACTTACATAAAAAGTATGATCCCTGTGTTAGCCATGGCGTAAGACAGGCCCAAGATTCCACTGCCCATGATGGCATTACTCAGGTTGAATGAAGACATTCCAAAGGAGGTGGTTCCAGGATGCTTGAAGAAAAAAGGATGCATTATAAACAAAAAAAATAAAAAAATAAAAATAAAGGCCAAAAAATGAACCATTTTTGGATTATTATTATTCTCCCATTATCTTTACGGGAGAAGATTATAGTCTAAGATTGAAGACAAAGGTAAATTGAAGAAAAGCTTTTTATTGACTCAACTTCAATAAAAAGCATGTAGTTTTCAGTGGAATGCAGTGCTTGGCTTTAGCAGGAGGTCTTAGTAAAAATGAAAAATACAGGCTGAGTAACATAAAGAAAGGGAAAGCATGTATGATTGCAGATTACATTTGGGTTAGAATGATGTCTCCAAAAAACAAATTTCATAAATGATTTATGCAGCCATATGGCGAACAGGAAAAACAAGCCCCTATTCCCGTAAGGGCCTGAATAAACAGAGAATGTGCTGATGAAGGCTTGGAAAATTTCAGTCACACTGTTTTCCCACAGAGAGCTAGGTAGTCAGACAACCCCGAGTCCTGTTTACTGCCCGAAAGCAGAGGTTCGCTTACATGTTCATCGTCATAATCTGCCAGCTTCTTTTTCCCCAAAAATCCATTTGTCAGGAATTTCCGACTTTCAGTATCTTCATTAGCAAATTGACTGAAAACACATACAAAAAGGCAAATAAGAAAGTAAAAACATCTAAGTAAATGCTCTGAATTATATTTATCTTTCAGGTGATCTAAGTAACTGAATATGGGAAGGAAACACCAGACACCTAAAACGCTTTTTTCTTTTCTTTTCTTTTCCACCTTCATACTAGTGTTCCTTCCAGACCAAAGACTGAGCTCCAGTTACAAACACACTTTGGGAGGGAGGGAGGAAGTTATGAAGGAAGAAAATACTGTTTTTATTTGGAATTTTTTAAAGCCACATTTCTTCTCCCCACATTAACTACACAAGGAAGGGAATTCGAGCTAATTTTGTTTCCATGTAGAGCCCTTCCAAAGGAAGGGTACAGAGTGGTGACTGAGGTTTATCAACTACTACCACACCATAATCAGATGATTTTATTCATTCACTAAATATTACTAAGTGCCTGGGCACTGTGATCTCATCTCATTCGAAGCTCAAACATCCCCACAAGAGGCACTTTTTGTGCCCCTACTCTAAAGATGAGGCAACTATGGTTCAGATAAGTGAGGTAGCATGTACACACCCAGCAGGCTCCAAGTCTAGGGTCTTCCACGGGGCCACGCAGTTCCAAGCAGGACCCTGTGGCTGGTATTTTCCCTTTTTTGGTTCCACCTGTTGATTCACACATAGCCTTTGCTGGAAAGTAGTTCCATGGTAGCTCTGTGTTGGGTTTGGTTGTTTTTATGTGTGAGTGTGTTTTAATTTACTCTGAAAAACGTGCTTGGGTAATTAGACAATGGGTGAAACTCAGAAAAACATTAAAGAAACCCAGTGGTTTAGTAGAAGAATTGGAAGAAAGCAGGACTTTAAAAGGTCACTATTCACGGGACATTGTGACTGGTCTGGCTGGAAGCTGCACACCCCTTAACTGTACTGGCAGCTCCTGCAGTTATGTCAGGGGCTCTGAGGACATGAATCGAGTACCAGCCACATTTCCAGAAGGCCTGACTAATGAGTCCAGCTGCCACCATAGTATTTTGACGCTACAAAATATCACACAGGCTTTTTGTCATTTGAAATGCTCAACTATGCATGCTTCATAAAAGTGCTTTATAATTAGATAGAGTGCATTTTTTAGAACATTTCTTGTATGAGAAAGTAAGGTAAAGTCCTTACAAAGTGTTTTATTAAAATAACCCTTAGAAATAAAAAATGTACAAAATAATTATTATAGGAGATCTATACAAATTAATAACAGGAACTAATCCTGAAAAATAATCTTGTGAGGAAGAGGGTTGACAAGGTGACTTTTTGAGGATAGAAAACAATATCAGGTGTAGATAGACCCAGAAGACAAAAATCACAATGTTTTACGTGCTTTTCCAGAACCCAAGGAGTGGGTTTTCTAGGACCTCACAGTGTGCATACAAGTTAGAAACTTTTCCTGGCATTCTCCTTCTGTTTCTCATCTGAAGCATAATGCCCTCAGATGCTGCCTTCTTCCATCTCTGCACCCACTCCCTTTTGTGTTTCATTTAAATACTCTGTAGTTAATATGCTCGCTATGTGGTGACTAGTATATAATATTCATAATTAGAATCTGAGACAATAAGATGAAATGGGCCTAAAGATTATAAAAACAAGTGTCATCCGAATTTAAACTCTGGAATATCCAACAGTCTATGTTTTGCCTTAATGAATAAACTGGAATCCTTTAGTCCATGAGTAGCTTTTAAAATTTAGAATGTGAAAGTAATTAGATTTTCTTTCTTCAGGCATGTTCTTATTTGGGCCTGGGATGAATTGTAGTCATAAAATATGTCAAGATTATCTAAAATATATGAGAAATGTCCCCAGTATTTTAAATGTTTTGATACCAAATCCAGCATGTATTGAAAACACAAGTATAATGATCCCAAATAAATGCATTATGTTGAATTTCTCAAAAAATTTACATTTAAGGGATCAATCCAAACCAAACAGAAACAAAACTCTTCTTTTTATTTTATTTTATTTATTTATTTATTTATTTTTAGCCAAGCCATCCTGCCACCTGTTGTCAGCTCAGTGGCAGCTCAGCTCGGGCCTGGAATCGAACCAGCGACCCTGTTGCTCAGAGCTCGCACTCTTGAGTGAGCTCTTAACCAACTGAGCCACTCAGCCAGCCCTAAAACTCTTCTTTTTAAAGTGATTTTAAAATTGCAAAATGATGACCCATGTTTGAGTGAGGAGTTAAAAGGTAAGTCCCTATGAGCAGTCCAGAATACATTATAGGGAGCTTAACAAAAGCATTCTTGTTCTTTCCATTATGGCTTTTAGAAAACCAAATGGAAATGGCTCTGTAGGACTGTTCTTGGGACAGTGTCCCTTCAGCTTGAACACCCCTGCAGAGCTCCTATTTGTCTGCATCCTTCTCAGAAACAAAAGAACCTTCAGATTAGGATCAATTTACTAAGGGTGATGAAGTGAAGGAGAAATAAGAAAAGTTTGCTGAGTATCATCTATATTCTAGGAACTCACTTTATCCTCAGAAAAATGGGTGCTATTTTGCCATTCTGCAGTTTCCACTGGAGCTCAAAGAAGATAAATATCTTCTCCAAAGTTAGGCAACTACTATGCCGGTTCCAAAACCCCATGTTTTGTCACATTGTTTTTCCGGCTCTAGAAAGTGCTATGATTTGCATCTCCAGGGCCGCTGTAGTCCAACAACCCTAAAATTTACTGCACTGACTCCTTGGAGGAAGAACAGCGTTTCCTCCTGATGGCCTTTCCTGGGTGTTGTGAGTGAAATGAGGCATCCTTGTTTGAAAATCATATTCTCTACTTCAGGTCTAGCTTTAGTCAAAAATTCCCTTCTGAGTGTCTTTTTTAAAATATTTTTTTATTTTTCAACTATAGTGATATACAATATTGTATTAGTTTCAGGTGTAACCTTCTGAGTGTCTTAAGTCATGCATAATTTGTATTTTATAACATTTTCTGAGAAATCGATGTATTTAACAAATAACTATCGTGCACCTACTATGTACCAGGCAATGTGATATGTGCTGGGACCACAGACGCCATTAACCTGTTATAGTAGCATGATGGATATCTGAATAGGGAGGGTGCACAAAGGAGGGAATGGCCACTTGCACCTGGGGGAGGGCTTCATAGGATACCTGGCGTTGAGATGAGTCTTGAAGGATGAGTGGAGTCAATTGAGAGAAAGGGGAAGGTAGATACGTGATACTGAGAGGGCATTCCAGGCAGATGGAGCAGAATGAGTGAAGGCACAGGATGCTTTGAGTGGCTCAACAAGGCTAGAGAAGAGGGTACAATAGGGAGCAGGCAAGAGACAAGACAGGAGAGCTAGGTCAGGGGCAGACCCTGAAGGGTCACACATGCCAGGCAATATATCGTCTCATCTTTATCTTATAGTTAATGGGGAGCCACTGATGGGCTTTACCTAAGGATGGAACATGAGTCAATTTGCAATTATAAAAGGTTACTTGTGCAAGGAGGTGGAGGGCTCGTTGGAGGAGAACAAGATGTACAACAGAGAGACAAATCAGGGATGTTTTAACAGATAGGTGAGAGACGATGAGGGCCTCAAGTAAGATGGCAATAGAACAGATACAGAGAAGAGGGTGGATTTGAAACATTAATGAGGTAGAACTAACTGGATATAGCCAAACATTGAATGTGCCATTTGAGGGAGGGGATGAGTCAAAGTTGACAACAATGTCTTTCGGTTGAGTTGCTGAACGATAGTGGTGACTTTCACCAAGATGGGGATTACTGGAAGGGGAGCAGGGTTTTAAGGGAATTATGAGTTTCTATTAACATTACAAGTTTGACTTTGTACGTGAAGCAATTCAGACACGAATCATTCAGTAGAGACGTGTAGTAGACAGTACAAATAAATGATTTGGAATTCAGTTGAGAAGTACAACAGGCTGAAGAAATGGCATATGTTTAGTGGGTGAAACCATGGTGCTTCTGAATGAGCTTGCTGATAGGACACTTTCAGTGAGAAAAGTATCCCTACAGACCTCTGGAGATGTAGCAACATTGAAAGGGTAGTCAAAGAAGAGGAGTCTCAGAGAGAATGGTCAGAAGTTAAGAGAAGTGATAGGCTACTATAATTAAAATTACATTATTAGTGGGGACAGGAACACTGTAACTTCAATTCTAAATTAGTCACACGAAGGATTAACATATAAAAATGACATAATATTGTGTACTTTAGGATCAGGGAGTTGATATGTTAACATCAATATCATTGTTATCTCTCAAATAGGAAGTAAACCCAATTCTTCCTGAACAAGGACCTTGTTTTCCATGCCCCTAAACCTCTCTTACTTTTCCATAGAACCTGGTCCTTTTTAATCTCATACCTGCTCATGGCTGTCTTTTCTAAATTTCCCATCCTGGTGTAGCAGTCTTGAGCACTTTCTCCACTGCTGCTCTCATCATCAAGTTCAGTGTTGACATTTCTCAGTTCCATGGGATCCATCTGAGCTGTCAGCGCTTTCTTGTCCACACACGAGCTCCTTCAGTGCAAACAATATACTGTACCTTCAGCTTAAGTCTCTGCCACTTTGTGTTGATGTTCAGTACACTCTGTTCTGCAAACAGAACATAAAACAAATTATTACAGTTTTCTTTAAATGAGATAAATGAATATAAAACTCCTACTTTATGTATGCTCTGTGTAAAAAACATGGGAAGGAAGTCAACTCCTGACAACTTCGTATTAATATGTCCACAAAGGTTCCTTTACCCAATACAAAAAGGATATATGGAAGCAAAGAAATAATTATACAAACAAATTGCCAAATCAGCACATATTTACAGAGTGCTTATGGATATAAACAGAGGCAGGTGCTTTGCTAGTCACCGTGGGAAGAAAAAGGATAACTCTTAAGACATAGCAGCAGTCTTCAAGAAGCTTTAGGTATTTTTAAGCAGATTGCATGACTTAAAAGAAAAGGAGACAATAATAAATTGTTGACAAACAATGACCTGTCAATGCAGAATCTATCAGTGTCCCTCCTAGCAGTAACATAAAAAAATTACCGCTTTAATTTGCTAATTGTTCATGAAAGAATTACCACCACCAAAATGCAACACGTGGTACATCAGGTCAGGGAACTACTTTCCAGGCGCTTGGATCATGAAGCCAAAGTTAAAAATAGTAACAGCATTAGTCGCCATCTATATACAATTAAAAGCATTTTAATAACAAAGAGATCCAGTTTTTATGTTCTGTTCGCCTTTAATTCATTGGATCTCAGCATAAGCTACGTAACTTTTTTGGACCTCATTTTCCTCAATTATAAACTGAAAAGGGGTGACTGGCATTGTGTAAAAATAAGAAATGCAATGAATCCATCATATTTTGTTGATACAATTTCTCCTGAAAGTTTTACTTATTAAAATCATTCAATTCTTGTTGAACCATTATATTAGGAGAAATACAGTCACTCTTGGTAAGTGTGGTTCTAAAAAGTACACTACCCATTTGGAAAAAAAAAATCCTGAGCAGGGAAACTAATATAAAAATTGCTCTAGAACTCATAAAATCCATAAATCTCCTGACAAATATGAAAAAAAAAATCATGGGATTGCTTACACAATCTAGTGCTACAAGCAGCACATCTGTGGAAGACAACACACACTTGAGATGAGTTCACACTCCAAATTATGAAAGTTACAAAACACACATGGAAACTTATTAGGATGAACAGGCATGAAAAATGATGATTCACAACCTGAGTAGCAAAGCAATTTAAAAGGGACTTTAAAATTAATATAATAAAAAGTGATAAAAAGGTTTAAAATAATACATAGCACCCATAAAATAAGAACAGTGGAAAAGACAAAGCTAGTTTGAAAAAGAGCCTAAAAAGGAATTCTAAAAACAAAAAAATATAGTCACTGAAATACAGAAAACTCAGCTGAAGGAAGGGTAATGAAACTGGAAGAAAGATCTGTGGAAATCACCCACATTATCTCACAAAGAGATAAAGAAAGAAAAATATAAATTTAGGAGGTATGGGGAGAAAATGAGAATAAGGAGTTTAAACATATTCTAATGGCTATGCTAATATGAGAGAATTGTGAGCTGAGGGAGAGACAAAATAGAAGGACATAAAGGCAGAATGAAAAAAGATAGAGGTTCTCAGGATTTAAAAAATACAAAGTACTTCAAACAGGAGGAATAAAAATGAATATTTTCATTAATACTAAATAAATAAGGGAGTGTAAGTATGTACCATCAAAGAAAAAGAGAAAAATCTTGAAAGCCTCCAGAGAATAGAAGTAAGACATGCATATGGTTAAAAGAAAAAAAAATAGAAGCTTGAATTAAATGAGTACAAAGCTTTCACACATCACACAGGCCAATTTCACTTCCCAGCAGCAACCACTAATCACAGTTTCTGTTTTTAGTTCTTCATTTAAAGTTGGTCACTCTAGATTTAAAGTATTCACTAAAACAGCTCTGACTTAGTTTATCAACTCAGCTGGTACCTATGAAAAATAAGGAAATTAGCATACTTTTTTCTATCCTTCCTCCCCATGCACTAATTGTCTTAGTTAATGAAATACTTGTAAATGTTGAGATTCATGGTATTTTCATACCATTCTGTAAAACAAATCTCTTATAATTTTCTATAGGTTGTTTCTAATCACTAAAAACCAATAATCAGGGCGTATACCACATGACTGTGTAAATAATATGCCCCAAAGAGCCAAGAGTTATATTTGACTATATAATAAATGAAATATAATCTTTTATTACTCAAACTTTGAAAATGGATTTTTCATACATTTTTATCTTCTGAATGGTTTCCTCCTCCACCCTCTGGGTATCATTCAGCTGCCAATGTTTCTTGACTGCCATCCCATCTTCTTTCTTCAATTTGTTTTGAAATAAACCTTGAATAACTTTTTTCACACAATATGTCCATATTTGTAAACAAAATTTCTAAGTTGTTTCATGTTGGAAATTGCCCTCAAACTTGGTTGATTGTTTGAATTCTAGATACAAAATAATTTTCCTTCATAATGTTGAAGATATTTATCTCTTGACTTCTAGCTTCCACTGATGAGTCTGATTCTCATTTCTTTTATTTTTCCTTCTGAAGGATTTTAGAATTTTTCTCATTATCATTATCTGAAATTTCTCCAGAATACAACTAGGTGTGAGTCGTTTTAAAAACCTCATCTTACTCTGCATGTGGAGAGCCCATTCAATTAAAAGACTTGTATCTTTCTTCTGATCAGAAGAATATTCTAGGGCCGGCCAAGTGGTGCGTTAAGGTTAAGAGTTGGCTTAAGAGCGCGAGCTCTGAGCAACAGGTCCGCCGGTTCAATTCCCACATGGGCCAGTGACGCTGCGCTCGAGCTGAGCTGTTGCTGAGCCGCCAACAGGTGGCAGGATGGCTCAGCTGGTGTAACAACAAGATTGCCTGTTCTATGGCGGGCTATGCCCACCTGCAACTAAGACTGAACTCGGCAACTTGAGCTTAGAGGCCACAAGCTGCCAACAGGAAGCCAGATGGTGACTGGCGCCCTCCACAATGAAGATTGAAGAACAACAACTTGGCTGGTCCCCTTCCCCAATTCCCCATCATTGTTCCCCTTCCCCAATTCCCCCAATAAAATCTTTAAAAAAAAAAAAAAAGATTTGGCTTGGGACGCCAGCTCTGAGCAGCAGGGCCCTGGTTTCGATCCCACATGAGGGCCAGTGACATTGCGCCCTCTACAGCTAAAATGGTGAATAATAGCTCAACCTGGAGCTGGGCTGCCGTGAGTCACCGGCAGTGGCGTAGGCTTGCAGCCCCTACTGCAGTGGGCTGCCGTGAACTACCGTGAGTGGATGGCAGGCAGCCGGTGTGAGCTGCCGTGAGCCGCCGTGAGTGGCCATCCAATGTCCGGTGAGTGATATGATGATATACCAAGAAATATATATTTGGTCTTCATCTCCAGTTCCTAGGCAGAGCTATTAATGTGATGCAATTAATATTTAGTTTTTGTCCCCAGTTTCTGGAATGATAACGGTGAAAGGATCATCTTTTGTGATTCATAACAAGCCCCTCTCAGTTTAAGTTAGTAAGGTGACTTTTGGAAAGCCCCTAAAAATGGGGGCTGGTTGCCAGGGAAATCAGCCATGTGATTAGAGGGTTGAAATTTTCATCCCCACCTCCCAACTACATTGGAGAAGGGAGGGTCTGGAGGGTGAGCTAACCACCAATGGTCAATGATTTGACCATTCATACCTAAGTAATGAAGCCGCCATAAAAAATCCTAATGGAATTGATGAGCACATGGAGTTGGTGGGGGGGCGGCACACCAGGAGAGAGTACGGAACCTCTCAGTCCCTTTCTCCATACCTTGCCCTGTGCATCTCTGCCACCTGGCTGTTCCTGAGTTGTATCCTTTTATAATAAACCAATAATCTAGTAGGGAAACTGTTTTTCCTGAGTTCTGTGAGCAATCCTAGCAAATTATTGAATCTGATTTATAGCTGGTTGGTCAGAAGTACAGGTGGTCTGGACTTGCAGTTGCATCTGAATGGGGCAGTCTTGTGGGACTGAGCCCTTACTCTGCAGGACCTGACACTAAGTGCTGGTCGGCGGTGTCAGAATTCAATTGAATTGTAGGCTACCCAACTGGTGCTGGAGAATTGGTGGGTGGCGGGGGGGGGGATCCACACATTTAGTATCAGAAGGAAGTATTGAGAGTAGAGTAAAAAAACATTGTTTCCTTTTAAACGATATCCATTTTATTTTTCAACCTGTCCACTAATTATTTTTCACAATCATGTTTTTAATGTCTAATAATTTGTTCCTACCCTCTTCCTCTGTTTTTCATTTTTCATTTTACCTTTTTTTGTTTGTTTTTCAGACGCAAAATTTTCTCAAGTCTTTCTAAGTGTATTGATTGGAAGTTTTCAAAAGTTCCTTTTGTTCCTTAGATTAAGTTTTGTTTTGTTTTGTTTTGTTTTTCTGGAATTATTCTGTTGTTTATCTTGGCTCTTCTCTTTCGTGCTGATGGTTTTCCTTAAGTTCTTGGTGATCCTAGGTTCATATTTATGAATAAAGAGTATATTGGTTACCTTAGACAGCTAGTACTCAGGGCTTCTCTGAGCTTTGCAGGCCTGTGTCACACTGACGGGTTGCTCCCTTGTAGGTCCTGTATAAGTGGCTTCTCTGCAGCTGTTTGTATGTGGGGCATCCGGGAGGAGCCCACCCCCAGACACAGCTGGCATTTGAGGAGAGAGAGGTTCGTCTGGGAGCAAAATGCTGTGGTGTATTTTCCTCTTGGTGGAGATTCCATTCCTGCTTGTTACTCTTCTTTGTTTGCTGTAGAGGCCCCAATACCTACGAGTATTCTAGAGTCCATTCTCAGATTTTCTTTGCAAACTCAATCACAGCCTTATCCTATGGGCAAAAGTGGCAACACAAACTGACCAACCCTGGTCATGTCCAGACTGAGGATCCTTGGTGAATACACGGTCACTGGCTGCCTGTGAACCATGCCTTCTCTTTGTATATGTTGACTTAACTGAACTGCTACAGGGCTCCCTCTGGTTGCTCCCTACAATTACCCTGGTTTACCCTGATTCTTTTTCTCTTTCACAGATTTTTCCAGCCTTATTTGTTTTATGGCTTCTAGGAATTTTTTAAAACTTCTCTTTGTTGATGTTGGTGCTATTATTTTTCGGAACTTTTGTGTTGTTGGTGTTTTTTCCTTTTAAAAAGTATTTTGTTTGACATTTCATTGCTTGGAGTCCTCAAGGCTAGGTCCTAAGCCCCTCTTTATTCCAATCTACTCTCAAGACTTTATACACCAAGGACTCCTCAAGTTACATCTTTGGCCCAGGCCTCTACTCTGGTCTCCAGTTCCACTGTTCCATGGCCTGATGTAAGCACTTGCATATCTCAAAGGCAGTTTAAATTCAGTGTGCCCAAAATGTAACTTATGACAGTTCTCTCTTCCAATATTTCCTATCCAAAGAATGTTGTCACTCTTTATCCAGCTACTCAAACCAGAAGTATTAGTATTCTATTATAAAATTTTCTTTCTTACTCCTGGTGTCTAGTCTTTTACAAAGTCTGGTTGACTTTACAAATAATTAAAGTGTTTCTCAAATTAGTCTAGTTCCATTGCTTCCACCATCACTCATGGCCAAGCTACCATCATTTCTTACATTGTCAGTTGTAACAATTCTAACTGATGTCCTTGAATCCTCTCTTGCTTATCCCCCATCACCAGTTCATCTTCCACACAACAGCCAGAGTAAGATTTTTAAAACAAAACTTAGATCATATCACTCATTTGCTTAAAACCCTTTAATGTCTTCTCTTCACTCTTAGGATAAAGTCTAAAATTCTCAGCATGACCACAAGGTTCTATGTGGCCCACCCATTTCTCTGGTCTCATCTCGTCCACACCCTCCCTGCCTTGGTGTGGGGAGCTCCCTAGCATTCTTTCATGTTCAGGGACTCACTGTGTCCTCTACCACCTCAAGCCATTTGCACATTCCAGTCACAGCCCCTGAAATGCTCTCCTCCTCTGGCATCCCCCACTCACCTTAATCAACCCCTCTAGGGGGTTACAGATGTATACATGTTGGCAGTCCTGGGGACTTCAGTAAACATCTTTTTCACCTTGTGCTTATTCATAGGCACCTCATTGATGTCAGTCACATTAAGCCATGCTAACCCGAGAATAATAATAACCAAAGAACATAAAACACTCATGTGGCACTTAATATGTGTCAGACGCTATTATAAGGGCTTCATGTCTATCAACTCATTTAATTCTCACAGCAGCCTTCTGATGTACGCAGGTACTATTTTTGTTCATATTCCCATTTTACAAGATGAGGTAATGGAGGCCCAGAGAGGTTAAGCAGCCTGCATGCTATGCCACCTGTGTACTGCTGTCTCTGCTACAGAGAACAAAACCCCAAAGGAGAGCCGAAGCTCTGGCTTTGGTGATAAATAAAAGTGGGGATAAATCCTTGCCAAGTTACCCATCTTCTTACTTTCCTGTCTTCCCATATGTAAAATGAGGGTAATGTCATTCACCACAAAGCAGTATTATGAGGGTTTAAATGATATTTGATTTTCAAACTTTGGCATGTGGTTGGTCCTCAATAAATTTAAATCCCTTTTTCCTCTTCAATAATCAGAATTTAATTGCTGTCTTTATTTGCATGCAAACATGTACAGTATTTTATATGCATATCCACACATGCATATAATTTACCTTAGGCAGTTTTAAAAGAGGACTTGACAGTTCTCAAAAATCTCACAAACACTGTTAACAAGGCAGGTACCCCTTCACAAATCAGGAAAGGGAGACCTAAGCTTATGCTATTTTACCAGGTATAAAACACTTATTCCATTCTCTTTTGAAGGTGATATAATATGGTAATACATCCCATGAAGTATTCTGAAGCTGTGGTTTAAGACCTCAGACCCTAATCCCAATTTTGGCCAAGGGACCTCTCACAAAAGTTGGAACACATTTTCATAGCTCATATCTTTAGCTCTGAAGATTCTATTCCTGATCTGTTTTAAGGGAACAGCAACTATAAGCACATTTTTTAAAAAAATTAGAACATTAGGAGAAACTAGATACTGTGCATCATTTGTCTGCACTAAGTACATACTTTGAAGCATTTAGACTCCATCATAATTGTTAAACTTTAATCACATGATTAATCACACTATTCTACTTCAATGTAGAAGTATTTTACAGATGGTATTTATTCATTCAACAAATACTGAGAATGAAATATGAGCTAGAAACTACAAAAGATAAAGCATGAATAATACAGAACCCCTGCACCTGATGAACTCTGTTTAATAGAGAGGCCAGGTTTTTGAACAAACTATTATAACCGATTTTACATATTTACTTTTTTATCTGAATAAATACTTATTGAATTAATGAATCACTACATGGGTAGGCTAGAAAAGAATGATGCTGGTGAACACTGTGATTGGAAAAATATAATTATAAAATCAAGTAATATATTATGTAAAATATATTACATAATATAATTTTCCTAGGCACAGATTCTTCTGCTGCTCCCATCTCAGTCCACGGCACCTCCATTCCCCCAATTGCTCACAAGAGGAACCTGGCTGTCAGTATTGACACCTCCCATTCCTCTATCCTAAACCTCCCTACCCAAATCCAATCCATCACCAAATCCTATCAATCCTTCTTTCAATGCTTATTTATCTACTTCTACTTCTCTCTCCATGGCCATTATGTTATTCCAAATAATTACCTGCTAAAGGCCCTAAAATGATTTTGTCATTAATTTAAAAATAAAGTCAAGTTTCCTAATATGTCATAAGGCTCTACATTCTTTAACCCAGACATAGCTCTTTAGTCCCTTATTGAATCGAACTAACTAACAATACACTGGACTTCTTTCAATGCTTCATTGCCACCTCAGGATCTTTTAACACGCTGTTCCCTCTACTTGGAGTGCTAGTCCCCACATTCTTACCCCAAGCATCTCCCAAAAACGAAAAGAATCTGAAAATCTTTAAATGCCATGTGGTCAGAGAAGCCCTGCATCTAAACTAGATCCTCTATTAAAGGTTCTTGTAGCATGTTCTCTTCTCCCTTCCAATACCTATTATACTTTGACTTACATTTTTAGTTGTGTGATTATTTGATAAATATCTGACTCTTCTTCTAGGCAGAAAGTTCATGAAGGTGGAAGCAATGCCGGGTTTGTAGACTCTACATTTTCCCAACATGTAACACAGTGCCTGGTGTGATATTCTACTAAGACTAATGCAACTTTATATGATCCCCTTTACACATACAAGTATACATTCTTGTTATTCCTTTATAAGTTAATATTTCAAAGTGAAATGGAAATGTTTCCCTCTGGTTACCATAAGAAAGAACAGCTTTGTTGAGCAATGAATGGTCCAAATTATTCTAAAAGAAAAAATTAAATCTGATTTGACAGAACTTTGTGGTCTAGCCTTTCTTTTCAATGAAGTTGTTTTCTGTGATACAAAAACATTTTACAGAAACAGACTGGTTATTGCAGTGTGGTCATCTTCTACACTGTTGCTTCAATCACTCACTTATGAAGATGCAAAATCAAAACTTGAAACAAAGGTACTTAGAACACTATCACCATTAGAAGACTTTGTTTCATCACATTTACTAAGAGATACCTAAATATCCTAATGAGCTGATTCCTTATATCCAAATTCTTGTTATTAAAAACTGTGGCATCTTGTTCTTTGAATAGGTACCTAAGAAATTCAGGATACAAGATTCTCAAAGCAGCAAATTTCTCCAACTTATGTTGTTCAACTTCAAAAGCATCATATCTGGAAAGCAAAACTGTCCTTGAGTCAAGAGGCAAAAGTTATGACCTTCCCTAGTTACTGCAAACATTTATTTTACCTGATAAGTGAAAGTGAAAAGGGAGCTAATATTGTCAGAGCATTTCCCACCATCCCTATGTGTTTTGTCTTTCATGCCAACTCAGTTCTGATTAATCTACTCTGAAATCTAGATTTAGTTAGCAGATAGACTCACATGTCATTCACCCTTTGGTTGAGCAAGCAGGAAGTGGCTGGTCACGCAACTTCTTAAAGCCAAATTATCTTGGACCCAAGGAACGATTTAAATCCACGTCCAAAACGTATCTGAGATAAATGAACATAGTTTTGACAATGAAATCAATCTAGTATTACCTGGATGTTAAATTCTCTTAAACAATTTTCTCAACAGTGTCATTCTAGTCACACATTGATAGATGGCTTATTAGTCCCTGGCATGATTTCTCATAGAAATTACCGGTAACTTCCATAAAAGCATTCACTACATTCAGTTTGAAATAATATCTTAGAAAAGAAATTGTCAGTCACAGTAGAACTGTATTTACTTGACTACTTCCTATTGCTGGTGCTAATATCATAGCATTTTCATTCTTTTTCTCTACTTAGACATAGCTTAGAAATAATATCTAGGGAGAACTAGAAAAGTTAAAATAAATAACCCTGTGCTGAGGTCTTTTCCCTTTGCTAAGAATATTACATGCTTGCTAATATAAGAATTAAAGCAACCATTTTATTGGGTACAAAGAACTATTCATAAAAATCTGAATGTTATTTTGCTTACAAACTTTCTAGTTCTGCTCTTAGAAGAAGACATAGATTCTTTAGTTATCTTAAACATTAAGAAACATCTTAAATTCCTGCATAAATTTTAGTTGCTATTTCCCCAAACAGTAGTTAGTTTCCATAAATGTACAGGGATATGTAACATAGATGATATTAACAGTGAACTCTTTATGCTGCACAGAGTATTTAATACCTGTAATACATTGTGGATACAGTAAATTTCAAAATGTCTTCGTTCTATACAATTGATAGTGAACCACCCATAGAGTTGCTTTTTATTTCTGAAAATAAATTATTTCACATTCTTTAAAGTAACTCATATATTTAAAATAATCATTTCAAACAGTAAAGCATACTGTTTAACATGGTTAAATAAAACTCAAGAGTTTAGCCCTCAATACTACACGTATCAGTACTTAAAAATTACTGATCTACTTCTTAGGAGTATAAATATAAAGACTTTCAAGAAAAATCCCAAAGTATTATCTAAAAATAAATCTAAATAACTGAAAGAGCTTGGCATATAAAATAAATGGAAATCTTTTCTAGAAAACACAACTAAATTTCTTTAGTTTGTCAAAAATAAAACTTCTTTCAGCTAACAGTCCATGAATATGATATACATAATCAGTTCAAATGTTTTTTTCACTGAGCTATAAAACACTCTTAGTTTTGTTATCAGGTGGGCGTTTGAGTAAAACCATCAGTATATGCTCTAAGATGCTCCAAATGCAAGGATACCTAAATGCACTGAGAATTCTCCCTGTCTGATTAATCAATTTGAGCATAGCTCTAGTTTTCGATACTTGATTTCAGCCCTGCAAAATATAAAGCTATGCTTATATTCTATTCAATTTCTCAGTTTCTTCTAGTAAATTTGCTCTAAAAATAGTCCATTAAAATGGTCACACAAGAAGACAGGGTGAGACACAACTCTCATTTTTTCATTTGACAGTGACACAGCCTTTCACATCTGCTGCATATGTTCCTTCTTTGATTAGTCTAACTTTTTTGGGTGTTTTTGTTTTCATGGTAAAGAAAATCTTTAGTGTTATAACATTGAGAATGTACTTTTAAAACTTTTTATATTTTTTAAGACAAATTATGTCAACTCTTTACTCAGGAGATGTAAATAACTAAATACTTGCTACCTGCAGATTTTGCAATGTTTTCCTTTCCTATTATTCACTGCCCTAATTTTATGCTCAAAACTAAAATTATCTGCAAAAGAAAACTGCAGTCAGGATCTGGGTAAATAATTTCCATGTCTGACATTATATTGAAATGATCTTTTTTTTTAATAAGAAAAAATTATCCAAGTAGTATTTTCAAACATTTTAATTTGTAATAAATAGTCAACATCATAAAAAAGAAGAAAGGAAGCATTATTTTAACACTGCATATATTCATGTAAAAACATATTTACCTTAGTTATTTATCCAGTCCTGTGCAGTCTTTCCGGAATTGTGTGGGATGGCAGAACCCTGAAAGAGAGTTGACTTATATGAACCTTTGGGCATCTAGACAATGATTTAAAGACCAGTGGGCGTGAAGGAGACAAGCCAATCACCGCCACCACCTTGCCCCAACACCTCCCTCTGTCCAACTTGCGTCAGCTCTTAAAAAAAAGTGAAGCTAAATCAGTTTACTGTTTTATATTTGGATTAAACATCGGTTACACCAATTTCTATTTGCTTTTGGAATTTTGGCTTTTATACAACAAAATACTCGCTACTGAAAGTCCTACCTCGATTAGTGTCATTCTGTATCAAGATTCTATAGGTTGGTTGACTAATAAACCTAGGAATGTTAATTTTTCAAAAAATTTATGAACTGAAGTCAAAGTAAAACAACAACATAATAATAATAGTTATAGAGTCAGACAGTTAAATGAGTTATTATAATCAGAATGCATAGAAAATATTTATACAGCACTAGGGTTACTTTTTTTTTTCTTTTTGTTTAAAACAAATCACTTTTTTTTATTAGTGTCAGGTGTACAAAACAATGTAACAGTTAGACATTTACACCCCTCAAAAGTGATAACCCCCAAGTTACTTTTTTTGAATTATTGACTTATTTGGATAACAAATAAGTTTTCAACTTATTTGAATTATTGACTTATTAAATATGGAATGACAGACACTTCCAAATGGCACCAAGCTACTCAAGGTGCTGTGAGATTGGAAACCAGAAGCCTATCAGCACTGCTACCACTCCAAAGGAACTGTGCTGAGCAAGAAAAATCTGGAGTTTTTAAAGAATTTTTAAACAGACCCTTTTCCCCTTTCAAAAAAATCTACTTGGCTTTCCACATATCAGGGAAAGAATTAAAATGTGTTGGCAAATAATGTATTCTGTATGAAAAAGTGTCATGTAGACTCATTCTGAAAGTGAGGCGAGAAAAACAAATTAAAAATCAATCCAGAATTAAGGGGTTTTTATGTTTTTAACATATTTTTACACATATTAAGGATTTTAATATATTTTCAGTTTTTAAAATTGAAAATTTATGTATTGAAAAACAATTTTTATAACACGAATGAACAATCTGATAACCAATCAGAAAAAATGGTAGATTACAAAGGTTGTGTTAATGTCCTACTTCTAGAAAAAATCAGCTAAACGTTGTTCTTCAAGTAAAAAATTCTTAAGTTGATACAAGATATTAGACATTAAACAAAATGTCCAATTGAGGAGGTGACCCATTTCTCTTTTCCTTTTCAAATGTGCCCATTTAGTCTGTTATCTTTAATAAGGTATATTTACTATTATTTGCCTTTTAGCTAACTTGTTCTTTATTTTTCAGTAGTTTTGTCCTTTATCAGATTAAAACTATATGGTCTAGGTAAAAAAAATGATAACAAATATACTAATTTTACTTTCAGGGAAATTTAAAGAATATTTCTTTTTCAAATAACTTCCATTGTTTAATTATGATCTTTCCAATTTAAGATTTCTTTCCGATAGCACAGTTACCAGATGAGTATAAGATTAAACAAGCAAAAACCTGAAACAATTATTAGAAACTTAAATACTTGTATCCTAGTAAAATTTCATTTGATAATGGGTCAACTGAAAAAGAATAAATGTACTCCAAAATGTGAATTGCATGCTCTGATATCTTCATATAAAATAGGATGGAGATAAATGTATAAATACCTGAAGTTTTACCTCTTTAAAATTTTAAAGTTTTGGCTTCCCTATAATTCTGATGTTCTTCAAGTGTTACTAAATAATTATAGTAAATTAACATGTTGGATAAAAATAAAAAGCACTCATAAGAGACATCTATGATGGGTCTTATCATATTTCTTTTGAAACTACTCTAATTGCAAAATTCTTATAAAACCTTCTGGATTTTTTTATTCAAAAATCAAATATACGAAAACTAATTTGACAGAAGTTAAAATAATTTAGGAAGTTGTTTATTGTTTGAATGTTATTTCCCTAAATATTTGACGTGTTTAGACATGCCAAAATTAATGAAAAAATGTACTATCTGGTCTTGCCTTAACTCACAGTAACTTTCTTTCATAAGGTAAATACAGACTTAAACATTATAGTTTCATGTTCTGAATATTTTAAAAAATCATACCATGATGTAATTTTATGTACATTTGATAATAGGTCTATGCTCTTTTGATTTTTGAAAACATGGCAAATGCAACATATTCAGTTAGGCTCTAATTTGGTTCAAGTATCTGTAGAAAGATGTAATGGGCCAGAATATGTACAGACTTTACAAAATGAGTAAAGTGAAAAATATGTGGGTAGTGAATAATGAAGCAAGTCTGAGCAATGACAGGACAAACACTTTAACTGATCCTTCACATAAGGAATTCATATAAGTGCCACCAAGAACAGGTATATGAGACTTGGTGTAGAGGGGGCCGCAGCAGGGTTGCAGGGGGAAGATATGCCTACATAAAAAGGGATACGTGGCTTTTCAGACTGTAATGTGATTTCTGTTAGCAGAATTGCACAATATGCTCCAGGGCACCAAAAGAGTCCCCAGGGGTTGAGGCCATCCAACAGGGCTTCAGGGAGCCCATGGCCCTTGAGGAGGGATTTAAAGTCCAGGTGAGATTCCAGTAGATAGAGAGGAAAGAGAGAGGCATCCCGGATGAAAAACGCAGACATGCTAAAAACATATTCTGGCAACAGAGAGAATCAGCCTGGCTGCAGTAGAGACTTCCTGGAGAAAAACAGAACAGAATGTAATAGTGCAGACTGTAAAAGGCATTAAGTCTAGGAAACCCAGATTTTTAGTGATGAGGACCTCTCGAACGCTTCTAAAGAAAAGCAGAAAATCAGCAGGGAAAGAATGCAAATGGGATGATGGGATAGAGATGGAGGCCGGGACAAGGAGGAATGCGAGGAGGCTGACTAATAGTTTGCCTGTCTGAGAATGATGGCAGAAGAAAAGGCAGATGGAAAGGATTTCAATTGCGGTCAATGGTAGTTTGACCCTTTCTTGTACTACTGTTTCCGTATCACTTTCACTAGCTAACAATACAGCCTATAAATTTTATGTGATCATTCTATGAGAAACAGAAACTTCCAATAAAATCTTCATTTTTCTTTACATAGAGAAAGAGACTATACGGCGACAGCTCATGCACTTCAGCACCCCTTCCATCAGTCTGTGGCCATCTTTTTCAAATAGTACAGAGAAGGTCCTGGATTGTATATTTCAATATGTTTTCTATTGAAAGCACAAAATTGTTGCCCCAAAATAAATTAAGTGGTTCATATCATACCTATCCATTAAAGTAGAATTTTTCTTGCCCATATTTAAAAACCATTGATCATCTTGTTTAAAATTTCTACCTCCAACAATGTCATAGGAGTGAAAGTGCCAGCTGGATTGAGTCAAAATTGGTCAACAATTGAAAAAAAGAATCCCTTTAGCCAGACCATCATGGCATTTTGCAATGACACTGGGAAAGATAACCTCTTGTTCTCATCATGACTGTACCCAAATTTCTAATTTTAGTCATAGGACAAAATAATACTTGGAAATCGAAACTGGTTATAGCCAAATTGAAAGAAGATGGGTAGAAACAGAGAAAACTAAGAAGCCAAATTAATAATTTTGTATTGCCGTTGTCTCTGCATTCAGTTGCTTTTCTTTGCTACTACTTCAGTTTTCCATTAGGTCATTTACCTGTTTGTTTGTTTTTTCCTTCTGTTTCTTTTAAACTTTTCTGTATTACACTGTTTTCATGATGCCTTATTCTCCAAAAAGACTTAGTTCGCTTTTATCATTTTCGGGCTTTAGATTTGTAAACGCAAATCTAATAAAGCAAATCAAGTTCCAACATTTTATATCTGTCTTCATCTTATAGCCAATATTAGTGCTTCTAAATATTTTTTAAAAACCACTTATATTCATCCAACTATTTTTTATAGTATTATAGGTAAATGTCTGACCTACCAAGTCATTCCTAAAAACAAAAGACTACAGATGCGAACGTAGAATTTATCCTCTCACTTTTAGGGTTCAAGCTTACAGTGATGAAGAGAATTAGTGATTTTTTTTTTATGTCATGCTTTGGCACTCCAAATTCTTCATTTTATCTTACTATGGATACATGAAAAAAAAAAAAAAGAAGAAAACCTGTACAAAAATATTACAGAAATCTTCCTAAATCATTGAAATAGCAGAATTCCATGTTATTTTGAATGTGAGTTGAGTACTTACATACTTGTGTTACATCACTTTCAGAGTGATGAAAGCTTATCTATGCTCTAAGTATCTCTCTTCATGGTTATGTAATTATTAACCTCAACTTACAGAATAAAAAATAAGGAATAAAGGAAAATAAATTTGAATATTATCCAAAAGAGCCACATACTAAATTAATTGTAAATGTAGAAGTAAAAATTAATAATTTTTAAAATTCCCTTTCAGGCAGAGCCTTTCAGATAGTCATGGAGCCTTAGACCACTTCTATTTTTCGAGGCTCCAAATATATTTTTAAAACTCCAAAACAGGATTACTAAATTGAGTACATTTTCAATGTTCCTATTTAACAAAATAACACCTTAACATGCATAACAATACAAGTGACTTTATAAATAACTTCATTTGATGATACCATCAAAAAGTCTAAATTTGGGACCCTCCTGAATATGAGGCCCCAAAGAGCTTCCCAGCCCAGGCCTCTGGGGGAGGCCCATCTTGTCCTTTCTAAAAACTTCCCTGACCAAGAAAAATGCAATGACATGTCCTGAGGACATTGCTTTTAGTTGATGGCACCCTCCTCTCTTTAGCCCCAGCCTAAACACCTTTACAGTTATACAATGGAGCATTCTGGTAATGTTGGAATAGTCAAGTACTATGTTGCAAAATTAGCAAACAAGTTTGGTGCAGGTTGACAAACATACTGACTTTGCTACAGTCCTAAATAGAAAATTCCTTTTAGCCTCAGCTGACAAAAAAACAAAAACAAAAACAGAAGACAGCTCATGTTGATAG